AATATTTTGATGGATATATACACTATTCAACATGCACTACCACAATATTTACTGACTTTATCATTTATTGAGTATTATATATGGCATACATATAAATGACAAAGTTTCATACACAGGAAGTCTAAGTAAACTATTTCAATGTACTAAACAGTCTAATCCTTTCTAAACCAACTTCCAGAGGTTCTATAGCAGACCTTTATTTTTGTTTAATATTCTATCTGTCCACATGTGTACCAACATCACAATTTCTAAAAAACAATGCAGTTTTATGTCAAGAATTGACATCTATTATTGGAACTCCCTCAGGTTCTCTCTTTTTCAAGATATTGCCCTAGTTTTTCTTGGTACTGTGCATTTCAAAGTTTGGCATCTATTTGAGTATTTTAAAACACTGGTAAATTTTTTATTGCTCCTCCATTAAACTTATAGAAAATTTTAAGGAGAACTCACTTATTCACAACATTTATTAATTCCAACCATAGACATGTTATATTGCTACCCTTAAATATTTTTTCAAAAATTTGTAGTGGTATTATTTTATATTATAACATGAAAGTCATGTGACATGTTCATTAGATGTTTCTTAAATACTTTAATTTTCATTGCTAGTGTAGCACATATTTTAAATTGATACTCAAATATCATGCTCTAAGAGTTGCCATGTAATTGATATTTTATATGATGACCTTATAGTAACAATTTTTCAAGTGTCACTCATTTTAAAATTTAAACTTTTTTGGGAGGGAGGGATTTCCATGTAAAAGGTTATGTCTTTTAAAAGTGAGCAATTACAATTTTATTTTTTTCTTTCTTAAATAAAACACTATATATATGCATATTTATACATATATATATATATACACATTCATATGTGTATGTTCAATAAAGATAGATACTATAGTTTAATCGAAATCTGAGGCAACACTTAGCACAGGGTAGATAGAGTGTCTTAAAAGTTGTTATTGATGATGCATTATTTTTTGTAGTGTATACCTGAGAAACACAATAGCATAGCTGCTTTGTCTACATCAGTATGTCACGAGAAATCTATGTGGAAAGAGTGTGAAATAAAATTCAAACATGTATACTGATCTGGAAGACAAATCAAACTGAATATCAAAAGGTCCATCAACATTAACTCATCTAAATGTTGAAATCAAGGAAAATATTTTAGTTTCCTATGCCTTTTCTATGTAGACCTTTCAAAGAATTATTGCATATAGTAAATAGTTATTGATAAACTTATTTATTATATACACATTCTATATCGGACTTGAAATGAGACGTTTGCACATATTTTCCCATAACCTCCACATGGCACCTTTAACCTCTGTATTTCTCAAACTATAGATAATGGGATTCAGCATGGGTATCACCAGGGTGTAAAATAAAGAGGTCATCTTGTCAGTATCAAAGGAGTGACTGGACTTGGGCTGCCCATACATGAAGAATAGAGTCCCGTATAATACAACTACCACTGTCAGGTGAGACCCACAGGTGGAGAAGGCTTTACTCCTGCCCTCTGCAGAGTTCATCCTAAGGATGGCCAGGAGGATCAGAATGTAGGAGACAAGGATGATCAGAAGAGATGAAACAAAAGTAAATGCTGAAAAGATCAATATTATTAACTCAGTCTCTCGTGTACTTGAGCAAATCAAAGTCAACAAGGGAAGACTGTCACAATAGAAATGACTGATAACATTATTGCCACAGAAGGTAGAGATAAAAATTTTTATGGTGGTTACCAGAGAAAGAGAGGCACTGTATAGAGACGGGATTACCACCAGCACCCAGCAAACTCTTTTTGACATGATGACTGTGTAGAGCAGAGGGTTGCAGATGGCCACGTATCGGTCATAAGCCATTGCTGCGAGAATATAAAGCTCATTAAGGACAAAAAAGATAATGAATGCTAACTGTGTAGCACACCAATTGTAGGAAATTATGTTTTGAATAGCTACAAAATTTACCAACATTTTGGGTCCCACAGCTGTTGAGTTACCAAGATCAATGAAAGCCAGGTGTTTGAGAAAAAAATACATGGGTGTTTGTAGCCTGGAGTCCACCTCAGTGAGGATGATAATGCCCAAATTGCCCAGCAGTGAGACCATGTAGATGATGAAGAACAGCCCAAAGAAGGGAGCCTGCAACTCAGGGTGGTTTGTGATGCCCATTAAGATGAATTCATTGAACACTGTAAGATTCTCTTTATCCATCCAGGCCATTAATTTACCTGATTGTGGGAAGTATCATCAAAAATCCTTGGGTTTCAGGAGGTATATCACCTGTTAAAATTTGATGTTCTAAAAATTACATGTAAGATAGACTTAAGGAATTTTTTTTTAAAACTGGGGATTGAACTCTCAGGGACTCAAATATAGAGCTATATTCCCCAGCCCTATTTTGTTTTGTATTTAGAGACAGGGTCTCACTGACTTGCTAAGCACCTTCCTGTTGCTGGGGCTGGCTTTGAAGTCAGGATCCTCCTGACTCAGCCTCCCAAGCTGCTGGTATCACAAGCGTGCACCACAGTTCCTGGCATGAAAGATTTTTGTACATTTTGTTGTTGTTGTTGCTGTTACTTCTTTGTTGTGTTTGGTATCCGTGGATGTTCTGTTGCTGAACTGCATAACCAGCCCTTTTTAGTTTTAACTTAAAAAAAATTAGACAGGACTTTGCTAATTTTCCAAGCCTGGCCTTATATTTACAATCCACCTGTTTCAGCCTCCCTGTGTAGGTAAGGGTTAAGCATGAGTCCCCTAGCCCAGCAGGCCTATATTTTTTGACATGAATCAATTTAAAATGACTCTCCTCCATCCCTGAAGCTAAAACCTAACTTGAAAACCATTATGGCATTATGTTATCTTATTTCCATTACTTTGAAAATTGGTTTGCTTGTAATTCATAATTTACTGGTGTATCTGATAACACTATAAACTGACAGTTGTTTTCCTTATCTTTTTCACTGCTGAGATTTTACTCCTTATTCTTAATTGGTCATGTTTTACACAGGGGCCTCTGTTTCATTACCATATAATTCCCATTTCAAATGTAGATGTGAGTATTCAACCATTATTAACATGTTAATAAGATCATTATAGGAATAAATAAGAATTTTAAAATCTACATTAAATTTGGGTTAATCACAATTTTGGCTAAGATATTTAATATTAAGAAATCTAAATATAATCTATCAAGTTATCAGATTATATCAGAAAGAAAAAAATAAATATTCCAATATACAAATAAATAAAGCCATTAATTATGTCTCAAAACAATACAGATTTAGAATTGGAAGACAATTTCATTGTCGATAGAATATATCAGAAAAGTTAAACTGCACTTAGTCTTAAAAGGAGAAAATTAAAACTTTTGAAAAAAAGTTAGAGATATCCCATATAAATTTGTAGAAGTGCTATATGCCTGGATTATACAACAGTGTCACAAAATGTCAATTCTTTTTATTAACTAATAATTGTTTATTCATGTATATGATGTACATTATGATAATTTGATATGCATATGTCCAGTGTTTAATGGCCAAATCAGTGTAAAGAATACTTCTATCTCATCAAATGTGAATCATTGTCATATGCCAGAATATGAATCATCCCATAATCTTTTGGTAATTTTCAAAAATATCCTAGTTTACTGTTACCAGTATTTAACCTGCTGTGCTATCCAAAATCATGACATATTCCTCCTCTCTGACCATGTTTTGGAGCCCTTTCTTACTCCTTCCTGTTCCTCCCATATAGTTCCCAATCTCTAGTGATCACTGCTTCACTTTCTTCTATGAGTTGCACTTTTTAGTTTCCATCAATGAATAAAATGTTTTATTTGTCTTTCTGTGTCTGATATATTTTGCTTCATATACATGTCGCTACAACTGACTTTGCCCAAAGTAATCTATTTATTTGATGACTTTCCAAACTCTTAATAGTGTATTTTTGTAGGATATGACAATGACTCTACTACTTATATAGAAAATGGAAACGATAAAAAATACACAAGACATGCATCAAACTTCCCTATGTTACCAGATTTTAAGGAGTGTTAAGACAACATGGCAATGGAACAAAACAGGGTACTCAGAAAACAAAACAAAACATGTTTTTAATGAATTGTACTATATGATATGACACCAAGAAACTTAGGAAGGGGACTTAGGAAGAAGAATCATGAATATTTCTAAAAATGTATTTGGCTCAGCAGTCTTTCAGTGAGTAAGCATCCGCAGAAATATGTATTAATTATTTAAAATCATAAGTGAAAATGACAAATACCTACATTCTTTCATGCAACACAGCTGGCAAGCTAATGAGAGCTGTTTATATTTCCATTTCTTATTTTAAAAGGTACACTGCACTGTCTAAATTGATAAATACTAACTGTGTTATGCAAAGGGCATTTGTGAATCATATGAAATCAGCATCAATCTTCCTCAATTACATCTCTGAAACAAGTGCTGTTAAAAAAAAAAAATCAAGTTTGTTGTGCTTCCGGAAAAAAAAAATGCACTTATTTATCTGTGACCTTTGGGCTTCAAAGTCCAACCCCAGATCTAGATAATGTGACTTTTAGTGATGAACCCTGCAGGTTTTTGTACTGGGTCAGTGAGTGTTTTTTTTTTTTTTTTATTTTTATTGATGTTTTATATATTGGGGAAAATACACAGCATAAAATTTACCATTTTAACCATTTTTAAGTGTTCTTAGTTCAAAAGTATTAAAGACCTTTCTATAGTGTTGGTAATTATTTTTACTTGCCTAACATCTATATTATTTTTTCCTTAAATGTTCAAGAATAGGTAAGAATAATATCCTTACAAACTATTGAAACCTGCATTATTCAATGTAATTATATTCCCTTATATAAGATTCTAAAAAAAAGAACAATTGGCTGAGTTATATGGTCTTTTCTTTGTACCTGTGTCATGTAACTTGTACCTGTGGAGAGGTATGTGCAACCTCTTACTCTCTTCTTCCCATCCTCCAAAATACGTTTCCATATTCACTTGTGGTATATATTATCCATGAAGTTAAAAACAAATGTTATCAATGCTTTTAGGTAATTTCATAAAAGAAAATTGTGTTTCAAAGCATTGAACTGGGAATTGTTTAAGAAGTGTGTTATTTAATAGCAAGTATATGTACTAGCTGTGACTTGGTTCATGGAAGGGAACTATTAAAACCCTGTAATGTCTTGCATGACATTGGCCATATAATTTTAAAAATGATTATTAGATTTTTGACACATTTCCTGACATTCGGAACCTTAATCCCCAGTGAAAACAGATCATGAAGAAAACTCTTCATGCATTTAGGTAACACCATACAATAGAAGAAGATAAAAAATGCTTAGAACTAAGTCTCTAAATTGTGAAAATTTCACCCAAACTGAAATCTAAGCCCAAATATTTGATTTATAATTCTTACATGGGTGACCTTCCCTAACCCTTCATTGGTATTAAACTCAATTTTACCCCCATTAAAACATATTGTGGAGATAGTTCTACGTTTTATGCCTCATCATTCATATACGAACAACTGCAAATTTAATACAGAAGCAGAGGTATCCTGTTATTGTGTTGTATACTAACCTAAATCAGAACATTGACTATTTTAACTTGCTTTTACCATCTCTTTCAATTGCAAATCCCACTGTTATTATGCTTCCTCATCTGTCATCACTTTGTGCCACTTCTCCCATGGTCTGCAGACATGGTGGACTTGTTCTGACACCTTGACAGCTTTGCACATTGAGTATTCTCCTTCTTTCCTGAGGACAAAGTGTCTAGAGAGCTTTCAAGACAGTCTGAACATCCCTGGGATTTCACAAATGACAAGGACCAATATTCAACCAATAAGGGTCTTCTAGGAATCAATGAGTAAATGTCCAAGCTCCTGTGTCCTTCCTTGGCACTACTCCATGGAAAGTTCAGCAGAACCTCTCAAATCATCTTATATGTGTGAACCTCAGTTTTTTATGGCTGTACAACATTCTTTGCTAAACGTGTCATTAGCTTTAACCCTATTCATATATTCTCCATTCCACCATTTATGCTTTCTGGAATCACTTATGAAATAAACATCATATACTTACATCTTTTCTTCAGAAGCTGCTCTTGGGGGAATTCATACTGTGTCCAATCCAGTCTTACATGGTGTTAATGAAAGCAGACCACATTTAACTATGGCACATGTGCAACTCTACTGGTGCATGATAGAAAGAGAAAACAATAGCATTAATTTACTGCATAACTGGAAGTCCTATCAGAAAGCTATTTTTATTTGAGGCACTTACACTCAACATCAACACCCTATATTCTTTCTCAATATATTCATTGATTAGAAGAGTATAGCATAGAAATACTAACAAAGAGAATCAGGGTTCCTTACCACCTTCAAAAAACACAACAATAGTATTTAAAACTACCTCATTCTTCCAGAAAACATAAGCTTGGGTTGTAGATTAGTGACTATGACAAAATATACTAAGTCTGGCATTGCTGAGTAGAATTTTGAGTGTAGTTTAAATTGAAGAACAGTGTCAATCCCTAGAACTAATCTGGTAATCATGATGACCAGTTCCAACTACACACCTAAAATGAGAAGTGGGTTCTTGTTCTCCTGTATGACTACTAACTTAACTGCAGTCAGAAAAACTGATAAGTATCTTTTTTTTTTTTTTTTAAAAAAAAAAAAAAAAAAAAAAAGGTTGTTTCTTGGGGCTTGAACAAAATTTCATGGTTATTCCCAAAGCATGTGGGAATGGCCTCAATGCCACTTGGGTATTGGTTAATTATCCAGAGTACCAGTGATTTCCCTATTGGAGAATTCTTTTACATTATTCAGCTGCTTTTCTTTGTTATTAATTTCATCTCCACCACTCATATATCTGTTTTAATTATAGCATCTATTGGATGCATGATTTTTTCATCCGTAATGTCACCATTTGACATTTTCCAGAATGGCTTACACCAGTTATTTGTCTGTGGACCGGTAACTTTTGACCATCTCCTATAGCAATTCTAAAAAACTCAAAACATGTTCATATTATGTGTGTAACTCAACTTTTTAAACTTTAGTAAATAAGAGATAATGAGACCTTAATTCCATATCACTCCTCACTTCCTATCCCCACTTTAAGTCTCCTTTTCCACATATTTACCTTTTCCTCAAGTGTTGCTATGTGTCCCTAAGAACTAGAATAT